CAGCATGATAGATATTATAAATTGGACGCTTCGTTACTGCATTCTAATACACATATTCCGATTTCGTGTACATTTATAAGATAAACACCTGTATTTGTATTGCGTATAGGTAATCGATTTATCTTCCGTTATTAGATGGGTATTCTACCTGCATTTCGGTTAGAATTACTATGCAAACATAATCATGTATTTCCAAACAACGTAATGACTAAAAGATCGATTCATTTTATTTGGCTTTAAGGATAATATACGGCAACATTATGGCTCTAATGGATGTTTAAACTGCCGGGCTAATTATTGTCTAGTTACATTCTATTGTAACAATCAATGTGTAGTTTGTTTTGATAGATGTGTGTGGGCATAAATGATATATTAATAATAAATAAGGTAGCCTACATCCAATATGGGATAATTAGCCTGGATAGGTACATAGACAAGACCTAATAAGTGCTGATTAATGAATTCACGTTTAATAATGGCTGGTAACATATTATTTTTTTTAATTTTGCCAACTAAATTCCATGACATGATAAACGACTTAAAAACGTCTCTATTTAATTTAATTACACTCCTCTTGTACAGCTTAAATAAATTCATCTTGTCCTCAAGTTTAATTTGTCTCATTTAACATAAAATCATTAAATAATAATTATATTTACCAGGCCTAACTAAAATTTTTGCAAAAAAGAATAATCATTTATCTCCTCAAACAATTTTATTAAATTGATGGTAAATTTCGTTTCGTTCCGTTTCAAAAGGTCTCCAAAATGCCATTGCAATAATATTAGTAAACACAATATCCCTCTTACTTCTCCCTTTCGCAATTGTAACATGAATGATTAATAGAAGGTGCCTATAATAAATTAAAATTACTTGAATCACAACAAATTCCGCATTGCTCCACTGCACTGTTAGGCAATTTGTCAACCACGTATCAACAACTGAGATTTATTACCCAGTGCGGCTGTGTTATACGCCGTTCGGCCGCGCGCTCATTCTTCTACTGGGCGTATACATTTCTACCAGGTTTAGTTCTACCGGACATGTATATGGGTATGGATAAATAATTATGGGCACAAGTATTTCAAATATTTCAATGCCGAGCGTCAGCGACCGGACTTGGTACATGCTGCTCACCTCTTGGGTCTTCAACTGAGATCGGAAAGACTATACTTACAATGATATTAAGGTCTGTTATATGCGGACTCTCTTCTTGATCTGCCCAATTCGCAGACAAAATTAGTCTGGCCTAGCTGTAACCCTTGACCAGATGTCAGATACCAGATGTCTGCGAAAGGTTAGGAATTCTGGTTACACTCTAAATAAATCGGTCTGAGTGAAAGCTGAGTGGGTTCATTGAGTGAAATTATTGAGTACATTTTCAGCACCATCATCACTTCATTTTTTTAATGGTCCTGGAAATTTTATTACATTTTTTGCAAGCTTCATGACCTCCAATACTGTACTGCCTCAATCCAAACCAGATTCAGACGTTTTGTCTAGAAAAATTCATCTTCAATGTATTCGTCCTAATTTTTCTAAATTTTTTATTTAGATTTCTATGTTTATTGAAATATTATATGTCACATTACAATTATTATTATATCTCACATTACAATAAAATTTTATTAGAGTTTTAATCCCGTGCCCATGGCTATTTCTAGGTTTCTCGAGTTCTCAAAATTTAATTTCACAGGGTCTAACGACACTTAGAGTGTACGATAACTCAATAAACAGGAATTTAAATAATAAATTTAGATAAATTTGGAAGGAATACATTGAAGATGAACTTTTCGAGACAAAACGTTTCAATGTGGTTCAGGCTGAGGCAGTACAGTATTGAGGGTCATAGCGTCTTGCAAAAATTTATGGAAAAACGAACCGTTACATATAAAAATTGACTATGACATTCGATAGAGGGCAAAGTCGCCACGAGACAGTGTTCTTTTTTTTTAAATACCACCTCAAACAAGGCTGAAATGAAACAAAAACGGATTTTCGAAATTTCAATTTTTTTCAAATATTTCTAACTCATGTTAGCCTTGATTTTTTAGAAGCATAATGTTGGTCCCCTGATTACGCAACTTTGCCCCCATTTAGGCTAGTTGGTATTAATTTCTCTATATTTGACCTTGAACTGAACTTAAACAAGATCTGATCTAGTCAAACGAACACCGGATTTGGATTGGGCGACTCCAAAAACGTATAGATACGTAGGTTTAGTTTGTTTACAATTGATTTTCTACATTTGACCTTGAACTGACCTTAAACCAGAGCTAATCGCGTCAAACGGACACCGGATTCGGAATCGGTGACCCCAAAAACGTATAGATACATAGGTATAGTTTGCTGACAATTGATTTTCTACATTTGACCTTGAACTAACCTTAAACCAGAGCTAATCTCGTCAAACCGACATCGGATTCGGATTCGGCAATCCTAAAAACGTGTAGATACATGACAATTGATTTTCTACATTTGACCTTGGACTGACCTTAAACCAGACCTTATCGCGTCAAATGGACACCGGATTCGGATTCAGCGGCCCCAAAAAAGGTTTAGTTTGTTGACAATTGATTTTCTATATTTGACCTTGAGCTGACCTTAAACCAGCGCTAATCGTGTCAAACGGACACAGGATTCGAATTCAGCGACCCCATAACCATATGGATACCATGGTCTTTTCTTTCGGACCTGCCACTTTTTTTTTGTGGGGCTGTGTAATTATTACAAAGATATGTAAGTTATTTAACTCTTCTGACTGAGCCAGTTATTGAATCCTACTGACTGCGCCAGTTATTGGTTCGTTGTCTACAGGGAAGCTGCGTCTAGTTGACCAACCCCTAGCAGTTCTGATCCGATGAATTTCAACAGCACTTAACCGTAGATAACTTTAAATTATAACAAGTTTACAACAGCGTGAAGTCAGAATCTATATTCTTCCTCCTGAGCGGCTGGCAGAGTTGGGTAATTACTTGTAATTTACAAATAGTTACAATTACAAATTACTTTTTTTAAAAAAAGGAATTAATTACAATTACAAAGTATATTCTTTAAAAAAGGAATTATATTAATTTAATTACAGTTACATGGAAAATGGATTTAGCAATTACTTTTCTAATTTCTTTTCTAATTAGTTTAATGATAAAGTAAATTATAGTGACCAAACAGAGAAAAAGGAGAAAGTTAAGTTAAACATTTTAATTAAAAGTGTTGTGTAATATTGCGTTTTATTATTTATTAGAATTGATACTAAAATGAAAAGATTATTCTTATTCAATTAATGATATAGAATTTTTATATTTTTATTCCTAATCTAATAATTTAAACTAGTCAGTTCATACTATAATTTTATATTATTGGCCAGGTAATTAATTCAACCCGATGCTTTTTTTGGTTGTTAGTACATATGCAAAATATAGAATACAGTAGTATTGGGTAGACTGGAAAGCAATAATAATTATTAAAAAAATTACGAATCGAACAGGTACGAGTGAAAGGCTGAGTAACCGAACCAGAAGTTTTCTCACCTCAAAATAAGAGCAGTAACTCATAGATACATAATATATATTTTTATAAAACTTGATGCTATAGGCAACATATTTTTCCTTCGTATATTTTCTAAATTAATAATAATTATAATAAAATAAAATGTACTCTGTTAATTCTGAGGTTAATTCACCAAATCACTTTTTATTGTTCACGCGGCACAAGGCTTTCCTCAAATGAAATAATAGAAGTCTGCAAATCTGTACGCAATTACGCAATACGCATGATCTTAAAAGTAATTATAATTATTAGAAAAAGTAATTGTAATTGGAAAAAGTATTTGTACTTATAGAAGTAATTTGTAATTCGATAGTTCAAATAATATAATTACAAATTACAATTCCTATAACAATTTTACTGCAATTACAATTCCAAATTACTTTAATAAAAATAAGTACTTAAATACAATTACAATTACAGGAAAAAAAAGGGAATTGTAATTGCTAATTACTTTTTCACCAGGAATTACCCAGCTCTGGCGGCTGGTTGGGTATTTATACGATTTATTATCAGCTAGCAACTCAGCAGGCGATTTTCTATTGTCAGCAAAATAATAAGAGACACTTATAAATAAATAGTAGTTATAAAATAACATATTTATAGTGTGAAAATATATATACAGGGTGTTGGGTAACATGTATGTGACATATTATAATTGTTAAATAATGTAATTACTCAATGACATATCCCGTATTCTTGCTATCCTATTATCACCCATGACAAAGACTAAATAACGTAAGAAACCGCTACTACAAAGAGAAGTTTTTATTTCCGCATTTTACTTGGGATTATTTAATCGGATTCTCGTTTAAAAATATAAATATTAACAGAAAAAATATTATATGTATTGTATATAAACATCAAACTTTTAGAAAAAATTATATTTGGAAACGACAGTTATGGTTAAAGTGCACAACTAAATTTTTGATGGAATTGGATGACTGAGCAGAATTCATATAAATGAATGGAAATATTAGTTAAAAAATATTTACTTTATTTCTGTAAATTATCATAATCCTGAGCGCAAATGCGGCCTGCTTAATAATAATATGCCGCCTCCTCTCCTGCACAAGTCTCCGACTTCTGAGCTAATTCTCGTAGTTAGAATGAGGAGTAGAGATATTATTATTATATTGTATTATTAATATTGCACCAATTACGTAATTTCCACTTACTAAAAATTTACAAGAAATGATATTTTTTCACAGTAAATTAAAAGAAGAATTTACAGAGTATGGAAATTATTGTTTCATTTGTTGTAATACACAAAACGTAATAATAAAATGTATAATTAAGAAATATATTCGTACTTATTAATTGAATTAACATTTCTGACAGTCCCAAACCAGTCTCTGACTGATGTTGGAACAAACCTCTATAACTTAAACATGAACTGTCTCGATTATTATTCTAGTCCAATACATGCTCTACAAAGACGTATTTCTTTACAGGTATGGTTCCAGAATCGTCGAGCCAAATGGAGAAGACAGGAAAAAATGGAAGCGGCTCGCCTAGGCCTAAGCGAATACCACGCCGCCACACTCTCCAGAGCTGGAGCCTCCAGCCTAGCTCTACCCATGGACCCCTGGCTGTCCCCCCCACTCTTGTCGGCACTTCCCGGTTTCCTGAGCCATCCCCAAACTGGCTACCCCAGCTATTTAACTTCCCCGGTAGCGACGGAACCTGGGAGGCCCCCAATGGCACACTCACACTCCCCCAACACCACTCCCCCAGATCTCAGGACTACCTCCATAGCTGCGCTCCGCCTGAAGGCAAAGGAGCACGTGGAGAACATTACGAAAGGACTGCAGATGGTTTAAGTGTTAACGATCCCGCCGACAATCAAGTGTATATAAAGTTTTGTGGTAGATTCTGTTTTTTGTACATACCTTTGTATATTATCCTGTATTTATATCATATTTTATTGTTGTTGGACCCTTGTGATGAGTGTCTCTGTTTATATAGTAACCTCGTGCGGTTCCGTCTGAATTTCTCTGGTTGGTGACTTAACCTTTACTACTCAAGTTCAGCACAGCAACATACCTTCAAGTGCAACTTAAATTAAAATTAAATTGTTCAGAAATTCATTTTGTTGAAATTGGAGTAGGAAACAAATTTAAAATTGTCAATAATTTCTGCTCTATATCCTAAGGCTTCATTATTGAAAGCACTTCGGATGATTGTTTCTTCTACTGCTCCAACAAATTCTTTAGCAAAAACTTAACGTATTGTATTTTGAGATTTGAAACATACGAAAAAAATTCTGAACAAACGATGGTAATCCGCGATACAAAAGTGTAGTAAAGTTAAGACACCTTCCCAAGCAAGCTTAGAGTGTATGTTCCAATTTTTTTTGAGGTATTAGTATAAACCCAATACCAACTCGGTTATTATGTATATTATAATTAGTGAAATGTGGCATTAGTGCAGTAACGATTATTTAAATTATTTGATGTAAATAATAATTAGTGATAGTGTCAAATAAATTTTATTTAAATTATTTTTCTTTATATGATACCTAGGGAGAAAAATTGATATTTTTCACAACCGGTAGATTATTCTGAATCCTAGTGCTTTCATGAAAAATACCAATATTGAAATATTTGAATTTAAAGGAACAGCTGCTGCTTACAATATTGATCTCTGAAAAAGCAATTGAACTTTCCACAAAAATCAAAGCACTACTAAAAATAGGCCAGATTCAAAATTGATTTTCTCTTTTGTGACACTAAAAAGTTTTTAATACAATTTCAGTTTTCAGCAATTTCACGAGAAGTTTATTTTCCCCAAATTTTTTCTTGAGTCAAACTGTAGTTCCATCTTTTCGGAACAATTTGTTTTTTGATTCACATCATTAGCTTCACTAGCTCCACTTCACTTAGCACATAACTATTCGCATATAAATTGAGATTTGTGGTTAATTTAAAACTTATTCTTCGCTCTATTATAAAAAATTAAAGACTTGCGTATAACGGCAATAACGATAAAAAAAATCAGTGACAACAATTGCAATAAACAGCACATCAATTGAATTACGTATCTCCATTAATAAACAGGAATAATGATGTGAATCAAAAACCGACCTGTTCAGAAAATATGGAGCTGTATTTTGACTCAAGCAAACTTTTGATATTTTAGCTGCTGCATTCTACAGATTGTTTCCAATTTTGGGGAAAACAACTTATTTTCTCTTGTAACTACTCTAAAATCTGAAATGAAAGGCATACAAAAAAAATAGTCTGTTTCAGATATGAAATCGTTGCCACTCTAAGAATTTGGACCCGCAGAAATCCAGTCTGCCATGAGAAATTCTCAATCACCCGTCAGTTTATGCAAGACACAACCTTTAAAACCTAAAAACGACCAAAACTCTGCTCTCAATAGCTCTGGAAACTAATCCACCATCACATATTTTGGATATTCAAAGATTCATTCAATACAACCCTTCAATTTCGTGTGAATACCAAAAAACAACCCTTAAAACCTAAAAATCAGCTATAATATAATTCTATATTCATCGGATTCAAATCACAAACTCAAACCGCAATAGCTGGCAAATGAGTCAGAGAGATAACTTATTTAATAGACCTTCAACTTAATTTGCTCACAGACACCCACACAGTACAATCAACTCATCCAGTACTATAAGACATACAGGGTGTTTGGTAAGTCGATGCATTCCTTGCAAGAGCTTATAGTACAAGTGATTTGTGATATATTTCCTTAATATACCATATTCTGATCTACAGGGTGATAAAGTTTTAATAAAAAAATGCAAATTTATAAATATTGCGGAAACCGTTCAGAATATTTTAATGAAATTTTACAAGCTGTGACAATTATCAACAATACATGTTTTACGATAAAAATATTGTTTTTAGTTTCACCAGTGGCGTGCGCACAGGCATATCTTTGGATATTTTTAAAGAAAAAAATAAAAATTATTTTTCAATTCCTTGTTCAATTTGGAAGAGAAAAGGTATCTCGACTGTTTTACTTACTTTTTTTAACTCGAAAACGCACCGTTTTCGAGTAAAAAAAATAAAATCAATGTATTGCATGGCATAATCCGGTTTCAATAATTTGAAAAATAGCAGAAATTGTGCACTCTGCTTTTTTTTTGTACCAATATTATTACAAAAAAATATTACTTCTCGCAGTTAACAATATCAGTCTAAAAAAAATTTTATCAGTTTTTAAATTCTCTATTCACTTTCTAATCGAAATTAGCAAGTTGGCTGTGTACTCGTTTTTGTTATTGTTTGACAAAATTAATAATAGCTGTTACTTTGAGTGTCTGAGTGTGAAGCAGTTAAATGCATAATTTCTGCTATTTTCCAAATTATTGAAACCGAATTACGCCATGCAATAAATCGATTTTATTTTTTTTACTCGAAAACGGTGTGTCATAAGAAAAACAGTCAAGATACCTTTTCTCCACCAAATTGAACAAGGAATTCAAAAATAATTTTTATTTTTTTCTTTAACAATATCTAGAGACCTGCCTGTGCACACGTCACTGGTGAAACTGAAAACAATATTTTTATCGTAAAACATGTATTGTTGTTAACCATCAAAGCCTGTAAAATTTCATTAAAATATTGTGGGCGGTTTCCGCAATTGTAATATTTATAAATTTGCATTTTTTTATTAAAAACTTTAACACCTTGTAGATCGGAAACTAAACGTTTTCAGAGTATGGTATATTAAGGAAATGTACCACAAATCATTTGTACTATAACCTCCTGCAAGAAATGCATTGACTTACCAAACACCCTGTATATAAAAAATAAAATCATTCCTGTATCTCTGCTATTTTGAATACCAGAAACCACTTAGTTCAAGAAACCTCGAAATTTGCTACAACTAACCATCTAATGGGTTTCACTTTGAATGAGGAATGTGTCTGCAGTCATGGTATACCTGATATCTCTGAAGGCAGCTTTAAATGAGTCGAGAAAATCACTCCCATTATGAGCTGCACCTAAAAGCTGTAGTACTTAAAACAATACATTGGTTTTTCTCATTTTTCCTTTCATATGTACCTCTTTTTTTAACATCCAACAGTAATAACTGCTGACAGAGCCTTTTCAGGGCCACATCCAAGGAGAAACCCACGAAATATAACTGTGTTAAATTAATGCAGATTTTGAAGCTTTGGGAAGAATTTAAGGTTAAATTTGTGACTTCAATCCGTTTTAGGGATTGTTTTCTGGTACGTCGACTCTGAATCAAGAATTTTCTCTACTTTTTTAATTTTGAAAGTGTTTTTTGGCAATAAATAAAAAATTGGAAGGTGGTGAAGTATTTCCCATCGCAATTTCAGTTTCTGGGGGACCAAATACATAGAGCGGTAAGGATATCAGTCTCGGAACAGATCAATACGGACCATTTTTCATGGAAGAACAAAACGTGTAAATATTAGAAAGAGACTAGCTAGTACTTATCCATGATAACCATTACAGGCATTGTTTCCTTTAGAGCTGTGAATTTTTGTAAATAAAGCGAGCACAATAAAACAATACAAATCCAACTTGGTTTCCTTTACTCCCGCCAGAGTTTTCTTTATATGTGTTAATTAAAATTAGGGACTCGCTGCCAAGGCCCAGAATTAAAGCAAAGCCGGTTATTAAGTTGTGTCGCAAACGTATAAAGAAGGGAGGAGGACGGGAGGAATGCGTTCGTCTCGCTCTCATTTAATAAGTGTGGCCAATAGCTCAGTTTAGTTAATACAGTTGAGATCAAAGGGCACTTCAGTTTTAATTCCACTTTATCTAGAGGGCGTAGAGAGCCCGACTAAAGCAATAAAATGCTAATACCTGTTTGTCGTTGCTAATCAACCATTTACGGCGGCACGAGCGCTGGTGTATCTGCCGCGAATGGAGAAGAATTCCAGCCAAATTTCTGCTTGGAATGGTAATTGAATTTAATTTGGTCGAATATATGGCCTGAGATGTGCAGTCGTCCCTAGAAGTGACTTCGACGTCTACTTCAATATTGCACACATCCATTTTGATGTGTCTGGAGTCATTTAATATGAGAATTAATCAATAGTGATTTCAGTTTTTGTGAATTGAAAATGAACTAAATGAACTAGTACTTATTAGTATACAATATTCAACATAAATAGTTCAGATTCTCTAGAAATAATGTTTAGTCTTTTGTTGATAAAAACATCGTTTTAAATTTAAGACAACTTTAAATGTTAAAAGAAAATTATTAAAAGAAAGACACTGCAGTAACGATGTAAACAAAAAAAAAGACTGAATGACATATGATATAAAGATATTAGAAAAATCTATTAAAATTAAAAATATAAGAATTTATAATAAAATCCCGACGCCAAACCCTACATGGTAATATTTATACAGGGTGTTTCTTAAGTAAGTAAGTAAGTAAGTAAGTAAAATCTTTATTAGTTTACTTTGATAAGAATTACAAAATACCCTTAGGGTGTAGAACTCGTCAATTATATGTAGCAAATAATAGTAAACAGTTTAATATTTAAATATAAGTAATATTAAATATAAAACAAGATAACTAGATAAATAAAATAACACAATTAATAATAATAATCATTATAATAATCATACCTCTCTCTACTCCTCATTCTAACACAATAATTAGCCCAGGAGACTTGTGCGGAAGAGGAGGCGGCATATTATTATTAAGCAAGCCGCATTTGCGCCCAGGAACGACTTATGTCGGTAGGCCCTAACCACCATTCAGTGCAGGAATGAGGGAAACCTGGAAAACCTCATTAATTAGGGGGTGGTCAAATGCCAACCGGTGTCAATCTCTCACATTGACCCACGCCAAC